ATGGCTGCTGGACAAAGAAGGAGGTAGAAGTTCAACGGGTCCATTGAAGCCGCTAGCCAGATCGATAATTGTCGGTTTGATGAACCTAAAAACAAGGACAAAATGTGAAAAATAAAAAAACAGGATAAGTAAAATGATAGAAATCAATCATTTAATTAACTTTCAGTGAAAGTATGTAAAATAAGGTTTTTAACTGCTGTACAGAATATCAAAGGAAGAAGATAAATTTTTCAGACTTTTGCTATTTAAAATCGGGAGTCCATGACACTATTTTAACAGGTGCATGAGGCTCACGATTTTCATCGATAGATCTGGTAAGACATCGAATCGCTACTTTATAATTATTGTAGCCAAAAAGTGATGAAAAAAAATGGAAGTAAAGAAAAGCGCGATGAACCAATTTATGTAGTGACAAACCCAGAACTTTCAGCCACACGTCCGTCAGCAGCCAGCTCCTGACAGGCTCCAGGCCACCAGGCTAAACTTCGGCGGCAAGCCAGAGATGCAAAGCTACGGACGAAAGCTCTAGGTTCGCTGAGTTGTCTCTTTCCAGCAACCAGCTGCGAATCGAGATGATTTGTAACGCAAGGTTTGGGCTCTAACAAGGGTTGGTTTAGAAGACGAGTTATGAAGTGAATCAGATCAGGGCCGAGTTGGCACGCGGTGTCCCAGTCACCGAAGCCCAGTAGACTGGATGAATTGCTGAGGAAAAGCGTGTCTTGCGGTTCCGATGCATTTGGAGTCACTGTCAGATGTAAAGCGTTGTCAGTAGGTACCAGCCGATTTTGAGGAGAAGTCAAGGTAGAAGAGGGTGAAGTAAGAGAGTATACTAGAAGGCTGCAACGACGTTCGTTGAGTTGAGCTAAACGGGATAAACAGGCGCGTCGTTGCGCTTCGCGATTGCGAAGAACCGATTTGGGCACGCCGCCGTTCCAGGGCCGAAGAGGCGGGGGAGCTAGTACATAAACAAATCAGATGACGATAGATAAGTATAAAAATGTGATATGAATGGTGATATATGATTGAGTAAAGTCCCATTGAGGTGCTCGAGATTGATAGAAAGTCTTAGTAGTTTCAGGAGCCCTGGTCGATTCAAAAAGTATTGGCGAAAAGATTAAAATTACTGTTCAAACGCTAAAGGTAAATAACTTACCCTCAACCAAAATCGGTCGAATCGGAACTGAAGGAGGCAAATTTGGAAAAGGCTGGACAAAGCGAGCATCTAAAAAATTAATAAATATTGATTACAATGTATGTGTTCAGAGTTAATCTAGAGAATGTATACAAATACGTTGTAGATAATAAAATATACATAAAAGCGGTGCCTGAAAATAGAATAATTCAAAATATGGATTTTTGTTGAGGTTAAAGAAATATAAGTAAGTTTTTAGCACATAATTATGATTTTAGGCAATGATCCGAATATTATAATGATGATAAATACATTATTCAGCTGAAAGCAAATGGTCTATCTGCAAGCATCGATAGACAAAAGAGCCCATATATATTTTATAGGTGTAATATGGATTCTTGCTATATTATATTAAGATGAATAGCATACATTTCACCAATACTAAAATTACTATATAAAATTAACCGGTATACTAGATCAATAAAATAGTGCGATGAGCCAATAAGAGAAAACAAGTTGTAAAAACCCGCACGAGCTAATAATAATATATGAATCACTTTAGATACAATAAAGAAAGAACGTAGCAGCCCAGCTAAATCAAGCCTATGAGAAAATGGAGATGTCTTAGGTTTCACCTATCCGTAAACACATGATCCAATAAAAATCAAGCATATGCAGAACTATCTCAACAAAGATAGATACTTGGTAATATCTGGTAATATAAAGATGATGATTACTGTTGTGGAGTCTTAGAGGCTTAATTAGCACATAGGTGATACTAGATGAAGCAGGTACTTCAAGATGAAAGCCATGTATAACCAAAATGCTAATTGGTAAGTCTTATTATTGAGTCTGGTAAAAATTGTTTAAACACCTAAATTAACTATTAAAAATAGCAGATTAAAACTATATGGGCTTTAAGTATGCTGATAAAAGATTACAACTATTTCTCGTATTTCCTTAATGGATGGGTGATCGAGATGGTACTTATGATATTGCATTGTTTTGAAGTCCGTTATTTAATTAGAGAACTAATTGAGTTAGAATAAATCTCTGCATTTAAATATCAATTTTATTATCTAATTACTCGTGTGCACCAATTGTTTATTTATATATTCTAGCATATTCCCAAATATGTTAAAAAATAAGACCTAAACCAGTGTCACATTAACCTGCTGATGATAAATCGTAACCGTTCTGTGCCTTTTGAGCATATTTCTCATTGACCTCGGCAACCATCGAACGAGTAAAAAAGCCAAACTGCTCTCTGCTTATGCTGAGTTTTCGCTTATTAAGCACGTCAGAATCACGAAAATTCAACTTGGAAAAATCAAATAGAGGGAGACGTGCTCGCAGATTTTGTACTGAAAATAGAGAAAACAAAGATTGTGAAAATTGTAGTTTCAGTTTAAAATGTACGGCCCATGCAGAATATAGAAATAATGTTGCGAATGGTAAGATAACATGACAAAAAAGTTAAAAAGTGGACCGATGATGTCAGAGAAAAAGTAATGATACGTTTTACTAAGAAATTCATCGTCCACAAAAAAGAAGGACTGTTCCATTATCACCTAGATTTGTAGTTTCCTATTGTCTAAGAGCAAACCTTGAATATGCCAAAAAGAATAGAAAGTCCTAGTTCCAACCAGGAATAATGCAAACAAGGAGTATGAGTCAAGTATTGACAAAAGCAACAGGTAAAGGAATTTTTTGTAGGTTTAATGAAAATTTTTATGCATAAATGCCTATAATAAGAGAAAATGCATGAATCGAAACAAGCTATTCTTACGCATTACCTCAAGTAAAAATCAAAATAGCATACCTTAGAATTCAAATGCTTCTTAAGTCATTCCAACAAATTAAGCCCTCCTACATATTCGAATTTACAAAGAAACTTAATACAAAATGTAGAGTCGTGTGTTTAAAGTTCAAGAAAGGGTCGAGGGGCACGGGAAGCTAATCAACT